CCTCTCTCAATAACATTCTGCTTTTCCTAAAACTTCTCAGGTAAAAATTTAGGGGCGAGTGCCATGACTCAACAGGCCAATATACCACCTTTAAGCTTCTACATCCCACACAGATGACAGTCCATGCCCTGGCTGCTCCACTTCCCATCCAGCTCCCTGATGTGGCCTGGGAAAGCAGTGGTGGACAGCCCAAGCCCTTGAGACCCTGCATCCACATGGGAGACCAGGAAGAAGTTCCTGGGTCCTGGCTTTGGATCAGTTCAGCTCCGACCCTTGGGGCCATTTGAGGTGTGAGCCAGGGAAACAAAGATCTTCCTTTGTCTTTCCTTCTCTCTGTAAATCTGCCTTAACAATAAAAATAAAATTTAGTGATATCACCTCAAACTCAAGAGGATCAATTGTCCCGGTTCACTTTTTTTTAAAGTGTTGTTATTCTGTTACTCCACATGGTGGTGCTAGTGTAGCATTTCCACAAAGCAACACTGTCCGGCTAATTTTGCCATTAGTTTTGCCTGTTTCTTTGCTCAGCACATGAGTTACGTGCACTTGATGTAAGACTTTGATCATATGCACATTTGCCTTTCTCTCAACTCCAAGCCACAAAGAAAAGATTCATTACAGCCAGTAACCACAATTGGTGGATAAAGCTACACGGGCAGGAATCTAGATGAGATTATTTTCACACAGAAAAATGCCTTGTCTACTTGCTTCTGGTGTGTGCTTTCTCAGACCCAGGATCCCCTTCCATACAATTCATAGGTAATGTAATTCATTGTGCATGAAGGGAAAAAAGTCTCCTCTTTTGAACATGAATTTCCTAATGAGAAGTCAATTGCACATTTCCCACATCCATGCATAGCACAGGTAGACACGAAGTTCATATTCTGGGCATGAGGAATGTCATCCAAGTAGAAGACCCTAGCATGCACATCTTTTAGTCTTTCTTTTGTTATTGCTGTCTCTTTTACTTATGCACATCTTTTTTAGTAACTTAATGTCTACACCTGCTCTCAAAATGCTGCCCCTGCACCAGCAGCAGCAGTGTCTGGGACCCAGGTAGAAAAGTAACTCTGTGGTTCCATCCCAGAGCTCCAGAACCAGACACCCATGAGCCCCAGCATCCAGGTGACTGTGATGGGCACAAGTTTGAGATAGAACAGCACCCTCTGTAAGACAACTGTTGCCAAGGCTCCTCTCTATATTATCTTATAATGTATTTGTTACTGCCGTTGTAGCTCATCTTTTTAAAAAAGATCTTCTGATTTATTCAATGCCAGAGTTACAGAGAGAAAGGTCTTCCATCTTCTAGAGCATTTCCCAGAGGCCTGCAATGGCCAGCACTGGCCAGGCAGAAGTCACGAGCCAGGAGCTTTTGCTCAGTCTCCCACGAGTGTGGGAAGGGTTCAAGCACTTTGGCTATCCTCTGCTGCTCTTCCCAGGAGGGGGCTGGATCAGAAGCAAAGCAGCCAGGACTGGAACCAGCACCTGCATGAGATGCTGGCATCACAGGAGGTGGTTTCACCTACCTCGAGACAACACTGGCTCCACTTGTAGCTAATGTTAAGAAGTGTTTCAGCAGCAGTGTGAACTGTACCCATTCAGGCTAGCAGGAGTACAAGCTTGAACAAGACTCCTTTTGGCTCTTTGAATTCACCAGCACAGCAGAAAGCACCTGTTTGGAAAAAATCTTTGATCTACGAGACACATTACTTTGTTTCTCTAGGAAGAGACCTGAGGGCTTTGATTACAATGTCACCAAGCTCCAGAGAAACAAAGACAAAATGCATAGACAAATAGATACCAATCAACAGGTTACCAAACAAAAATCATTCTGATTTTCATCATCACACCTACGATCACCCTTCCCATTCTTAGCTGTCACAAGAAAGCCATTCTCAGATCTCCTTGCCCCACACCACACAGACAAGCAGTCCAAACTGGCACTGCAATGTTCTTTATTAACTTTGCAAAGGTTTTCTGAGACAGTCTTTCATTCCCCAAATATAAATGGATTTCAGAGAAACTTTGTGAACCAATGAACTGCTTTTGCAAACTAAGTAAACACAGAATAACAACGACAAGACTGAAAAATTTAGGGGGCTGGCATTCTGGTATAACAAGTTAAACCTCTGCCTGAGATGCCAGCATCAAATAGGAGCACTGGTTCAAGCTCCAGCTATTACAATTCTAATCCAGCTCCCTGCTAATGTGCCTGGGGAAGCAGTAGAAGATGGCCCAAATGCTTGGTACTCTGCACCCACATGGGAGACCCAGAAGAAACTCCTGGCTCTTGGCTTTGGATCAGGTCAGCTCCAGCCATCGCTGCCACTTGGATAGTGAACCAGAAGATGGAAGATCTTTCTTTCTTTGTCTCCCCCTATCCCGCCTCTGAGTGTGTGTGTGTGTGTGTGTGTGTGTGTGTGTGTGTGTAACTCTGCCTTTCAAATAAACAAACCCTTTTTTTAAAAACTGAAAGCTTATCAGACAACAGAAAAATGACATGAAGATATGCCACAAACCTATGTTTTCCAATTGCTAGCACATGGATGAACTGATCGTCACAGTCCTTTAACATACGTGCAACCAATGAAATTGCTAGAATTACGAAAGACATGAGGTTTCACTGAAAATCATCACGAACAATTAATGCTGAACTGGTGAAATGCATGTGAACAAAAGTGTTCCATCGTATTTTCCTCTGAAACTTCCAAATAGCCTATAGAACTATATGCTTCCTAAATTGAAAGAATTCTATCTGCATCTATCTCCAAGAATTTCAATTATTCTTACCTGGTAATCCCTTCTCTTCTAATCTTAACTCAGCTTAAAAACTACAGATTGAGCCCTTCCCTAGGAAATACTCCTTGGCTACTGTAAGCCGGGCCCCACTGGAAGACATTCCCCAGGCCAGCAGATGGAGGCTATGGGATAACAGACCATGGGAGCCTAAGAACCTGAACAGAGGAAAAAGTACAGGGCTGCAGGGCCCGGAGCCAGGAAGAAGCCAGTTCTGACTCTCCCAAATGCTTGCACCTGTCTGAAGCCGTTTTCTCCTTGGCCTTTCATGACACAATTCTGCAAAGCAACTTCTGTGTCCACAGTTCCCATTGCTTCACTGCTCACATCCTGCTTACACCTTGCAACATAGCTCGCACATTGAACACTTCAGTTTTCTCAGTGGTATGTGATCTCTGTCTCCTTCCTATGGCATTACACAAGAGCCTCTCACAGGAGGAGGGGCCTCGCTGAACAGCCTGTGGGGCTTGGTCAGCCTCCAACTCACATCCCCCAGTCAGCTGCTCCCAGCCACTACACATGAAAGTAGGTGGAGAGCTTTGAAAAGTGAGAAATTCCCAGGTTTTGTTACTGTCTCAACTTGGCTTACTTGTCCAGTACTACCCAGAATTCCCTTTTTGGTCAGGTTGGACTCAAGAAGAGACTTGAGGTAGACCGGGAGGGCAGAAGAAAAGCAGCAGCAACCTTGCCATCTGGTGTGGAGCTGCTTATCTGTTGGCTCACTCAACTGGCGTAAACCACCAACCAGACCTGCACCTGTTCCACCTTCCCCTAGATCCTCCTTTAGCATCTTAGGCTCCTAGGCCAGGAATGTGTGGTAAGCTCTGTGATCGGGGACACCTATCCCACCCAGGGCACACAGAACAAGAAATGACAAGGCCTTCCATCTGAAGGTATGGCTGCCAGTCATTTATCTGCCTGCCTACCTACATGCAGGCCCTGTGGACTCCAATCTCCAGCAAGACAACACCTTATGCAGACTGCTAGATCAGCACCCAGCATTGCATCAGGTCACAACCCTGAGTTAGTAGAGGGGTTTTTATCTGAACCCCACCTCAGGTCCCAACCTACAGCCTCCAGTGTAATCTGGGACAGTACACACAAGATGCCGCCCACCCACCCATACACACACACATATACACTGAGGATTCTGCAAATCCCTGTCCCCCTGGGATCCAACTTACTCCTTCCCTCATGATTGAAGCTTTCCAGAACCTGACTCCTTCCTGCGCCCAGTCACTCAATCCCTCCACTCCCTTCAGGGAGACCCCACCCTCTGAACCCAAGGAAGGCCCACAATAAGAAGGCAGCTCCCCCCTTGGCAGCCCTCAATTGTGCCATGATCCAACCTGGGTAGCATCCTACCTATCATTACACTATCTTCATCATGCTGCCTCCCTAATGCCTGCTGCCTACCACCTGTAACTGCTGTAATCACATGGGGGAAGGGGAAGAGTGGGAGAGGAAGATAGAGAGGGGGAGGTAGAGAGGGGAAGAGGAAATCTCTATATCTACAAAACTGTATCATGGAAAATAATTTTTAAAATATATAAGAAGGGTATGAATTTACACTTGGGCTCAGGAAAGAGAGTGACACACAAACACCTGAAGACTCATGCTAGGAGCAAGTGGGCTCTCATTGGATGTCTAATTCATGTTACTGCAGGGCTCAAGGAAGATGGCAGCATTTGATTGACCTTCAGTCTCAAAACCTGCACCAAAAGGCAGCTTCACGTGCCTCTCCCAGCATACATACTGCATCTCCAAGCCAGCAGTTGGCCTGTAACATGCAGCAGGTGTTCTCCTGTGTCGGAGCTCTCTACAACAGTCAGCATGTAAGGACTGGTCTGGAAATCTCCCTCCTGCATGCACACAGATTTCCTTATTCCAAGAGGGCCCTGTTTGCATGTTGGAAAGAAGGCCACACACAAGTGCACTTGGATGTACACCTGTCTTTCTGCAAATGCCAGGAGGTTGCAAACACGGAGCCCAAGCCCTGAGGAGGCCCTCACCCTGTGCATTTCCTATGGCCTCCACTGTCACATCACGGTGATAGGGAAGGTCGGGACCCGAAATCACGCAGGGCCCACAGCTGAAGGGGTTTTTTTTCCAAGTTTTCACTTTTGACCTTTTCCTTACCAACTCATATATGAATACTTACACTGAGAACGTTCTGTGTCAACATCTCCCGCAAAAATACTCACCCATATTTCTCTGCAAGCCCTCGGGCCTCGTCCTCTTTCACTACCCTCTGGTCTTCCAGATCACTCTTATTTCCACACAATACTATATCTGGGTTTTCGCAGTACGCGTGCATTTGCAGCTGGCCTATTAAAGGAAGAAAATCTGTTTCAGGTGAAGAGCAAAGCAAGCACACGGTCAACAGGGAATCTGAGCAAAAGTGCTTTCTGAAAATTGTAAATTTATACAAACATAAGGAACCAACATAATGTGTTCAATGCATCAATAATTCACTATATACAACTAAATTTCTGGACCAAAGGCATAAAACTGCTCCTGTTCCTATAGACATACCAGTTTTCTAATATCAGAGTTACAGGGGCAGGGCAGGGCTTGATTGTAGCACAACAGGTAAAGCCTCCACCTGCAATGATGGCATCCCTTATGGGCACCACTCGGAGACCTGGCTGCTCTACTTCTGATCTAGTTTTCTTCTAATGCACCTGGGAAAGCAGCAGAATTAGTCCAAGTCCTTGGGCCACCAGAGCCAGGGCTGGGTAGGCCAAAGTCAGGAAATAGGAACCCCATGCAGGTTTCCCACATGGGTGGCCAGAATCCAAGTATTTAGACCATCGTGGTAAAGTAGCTGCTCTCTTGGTGTAGTAGCAAGAAGCTGGATTAAATGCAGAGTATAGACTGGACTTAAGCCAGGCACTCTGATAAGGAATCGAAGTGTCCCAAGCATTAGCTTAACCCACTGTGATACTACAAGCTCTACAACCATCTGAACCTACCATTTGTATTTTTATTGAAAAGGCAGATTTACAGAGAGAATCTTCCATCCACGGTTTTACTTCCCCATTGTCTGCAATGGTTACAGATGTCAACTGGACAGAAATTTGGAGGTTTCCCCAGTGCTTACTGCTAACCCTAAAGCTTCTTGTCATGTCTCCTCTCCGCAGTGATAGCAATTCTAAAAATTGCCTTCCTACAAACTGTTTTCCTTCAGAAATGCTTTTCACAGTTTTCTGTTACCCTTAGGCAAAAATCAATTCATTGAAAACCAGCAAAATAAAGAATTAAATGAGTGAAGATCCAGAACCCAGAAGGGGCTGCCCAAGCTTTACTTTCTCACCACCTGAAAAAACCGTGAAAAGGCTTAATGGGAGAAAGTGACGCTGGGTAATCTCCCCAGGAAGGAAAATCATATCATATTTCTTACTCACCCAACCCTGTAACAAAAATTCAAGCTGCCAAGACTTTCACAATAAGTCATGCCTCAAGCTTTATGGCCTAATTTATGTTTTATCACAATTAACCAGAAGAATGTCGACATTTTAGTTCCTCATTATGCGGTGGTGTTCATTATTCTCTTATGAAGAGAAAGACAAGTTGGCGGGCACTTCCTGAACATTCACTCAGGCCTGAAGCTCTGTGTGGCATTTCAGGACACTTTCCTGGCCTACACAGGAAGAACAAATGGTGGTGTTTCCACTAACAACCACACCCTTTGCTAGTCCCACATTCCTACTCCCCACCCACAGCCTTCCTCAAAGACCTGCTTCAGCATGACCTCTACTGGGAAACTACCAGAGTGCTGTGCCCGGTGTGCCCGTGTTCATTACACAGCTGTGAGCCCGGCTCCAGGTGGTGCCCAGGGCTGAATGCTCACTCCACTGTGGATTAGCTGTCTGGCTGAAGTAGCTGTTGGAGTTCTGAAGTTACTGCATGTTGATGACCACGGTACGTATTTAATAGGACAAAGATGAAGAGTAAAGGAGTTAATGGAGTGATTCTCCAGGTACAGTATGGAGAAGCTACCTTGGCATCACCTGAGAATTCCTTACAACTACAAATTCTCAGGTCTGTCCCAGTTGGGGAAGCTGGGTACTTGGTGAGGCAGTTAAGACACAGGTTGAGATGCCCACATCTCATGTGTGTGGAAATGCCTGCACTTGAGCCCCATGTCCTGTGGTGCAGATGTTATTCTGTGGCTCAGTGTTCCCATCCAGAACTGCAGTAAGAACACACAGTCTACCCAAATCTTCCCATGGGGCCATCATGAAGATCGGTACCAACTATGTGAAATGCTTTGAAATCCACAGTGTGTCATACAAATAACATTAACATTCATTTAGAAAAAAGTTCCCATTGTCAAAACCACAAACAACCTTACATAAGCCCAAAATAGTAATTTTTAAGTACTACACATTTTTCAATAACTGCTTTTTAAAACATTGAAATAAAAGAGTTTAACATCACAGCCGTCTGTAATAGAGCACCTAGAGTTACAATAAAAGGAACAAAGAAGGAAAATGTGCATGTGAAAAATGTCATTTGACCAAGCGGCCTGATTCTTGATTGTTATTCATTTGATACGTTATAATCTCTCTAAAAAGCCAAGAAGAAGACTGAGATTTATTGTGCTGGGGAACATGTTTGCCAATACAGTTCTAGAGGGCCCGGTGTGGTGGCCTAGTAGCTAAAGTCCTCGCCTTGAATGTGCCAGGATCCCATGTGGGCGCAAGTTCTAATCCCGGCAGCCCGCTGCCCATCCAGCTCCCTGCTTGTGGCCTGGGAAATCAGTTGAGGACAGCCCAAAGCCCTGGAACCCTACACCCATGTGGGAGACCCAGAGGAAGTTCCTGGATCCTGGCTTCAGATCGGCACAGCACCGGCCATTGCAGTCACTTGGAGAGTGAATCATCAGATGTAAGATATTCCTCTCTGTCTCTTCTCCTCTCCTCCTCTCTGTATATCTGACTTTGCAATAAAAATAAATAAATCTTTAAAAATATATAAATATAGTTCTAGAAATTCACATGTTCTGACCCGAAAAGCACAGGAGCCAAGCACAGAAGCAAAAATGAAGCAAGTGGAGACTGATTTTGTGGTGTTGCAGTGCTGTGATGTAATAGACAAAACTACTGCTTGCATTGCCAGAATCCCGTGCAGGTGCCGGTTCAAGTCCTGGTTGCTCCACTCCCAATCCAGCTCCCTGCTAATGCGCCTGAGAAAAGCAGCAGCAGATGGTCCAAGCATTTGGATATGTGACACTCATGTGGAAGACCTGGATAGATCTCCTGGCTTAAGCTTTGGCCTAGCCCTAACCATTGCACCCAGCTGGGGAGTCAACCAGCAGGTGGAAAACCTCTCCCCTCTGGTGTGTGTGGGTGTGTGTGTGTGTGTGTGTGTGTGTGTGTGTGTGTGTGTGTGTGTGTGTGTGTGTGTGTGTGTGTGTGTGTGTGTGTGTGTGTGTGTGTGTGTGTGTGTGTGTGTGTGTGTGTGTGTGTGTGTGTGTGTGTGTGTGTGTGTGTGTGTGTGTGTGTGTGTGTGTGTGTGTGTGTGTGTGTGTGTGTGTACTCCCCAGACTGTGTAGGGGCGGGGGGATGGTGGGTGTGGGTGTGTGTACCCACCAGCTGGGGAGTCAGCCAGCAGGTGAAAAACCTCTCCCCTCTACCATGTGTGTGTGGGGTGTGTGTGTGTGTGTGTATGTGCATGTGTGTGTTCCTCCCCCTCTCTCTGTAACTCCCTCCAACAACTAAATCAATATTTTTTAAAAATAATAAAATGTAATAGGGTGGGTATAGGCCATTTACCTGTTAACACAATCTCCTTTTATGCCATAACTATTTATGATTCCAGCACAGTTCAAGAGTGGGTAGCATGCAATAGACAAGCAGACTCTTGGTTTATATTTTCTCATCTACACAATGAGGCTAAAAGTTCCCCCAGCAGAACAAATTGAGAGATTGCATATCAGGCGACACCTTGTACCTGGAGCACAGAAAATGCTCAGCAAATCCAAGTCAATTACAGCACATTTTTGCCCAATTTTTGTTTGCCCCTAGACTTAGACATCTTGCTGCTCTCAACAGCACTTGCACTAGGAGTGCCTTCCTGACAGGCTACAACAGAAGCAGGACAACGGAGGACATCACGGGAGGCAGGGAAACAGTTCACACTTACTTATCCAGTTTCTGACATTGAGGAAACTTTGTTCATTTGTCAAATCAAAAAGCAGAAGAAAACCCATGGCATCTCTGAAGAAGGCTGTAGTCAGGCTACGGAACCTGAGGACAGAAAAGCAGAGTGGTCACCAAAACCATGCCCTTCCCCTCCTGCTTCCAACACCACATGAGATGCACCGCCTTCAGCCACTTTCAAAACTTCACCACTGTTCAAAAGAACAAATTCCATACTGAGAGTCCCAAATCAGACAGCACAGTTACTTATCACTTCTATAAATATATGTGTGGACAAATCGTGTGACTTGAAAAAGCAGCCAGCTGGACAGAGATGACAAGAACTAGCCTGAGCCAAGAATGCATCATGCGAGTATGAGCTAATTAGGCCAAAAGTGCTTGCAGTGTAGGTTTGTCCTCTGTGAAAGTTGACTTGAGATGACAATGCCATCCAGGATCGTTGAACTTGTCTCTACAGTATTCTCTTTTCTCTGACAACCATGACTTTGCCAGCAAGCTGGGAACTGTACAAAGACCCTACCCTTTCTCCATACTCTATTTTCCCAGATTCACCCTGCTACTTCTCCTGTCCTTTCCTCCCCACCCCTCTGCTCTCTGTCCTTTCCCCTCCCATCCCTTCTCTCCCTTCAACAGTTTCCTCTCACGATGCCCACACACAAAGTTTGGGACTGACAGGCCAGCTCCAGAGAAGAAAGCATTGCTATAAATCTGTTATCCAAAATACTAAACTTTTCTGAAATACTTTCAACCCCTGGTTTTACTAAATGGGTTTCTTATCTTTCTCAGATCTTGCTGAAATAATTACAAATGAAATAATGGGATTTCCAGAATGTACTTCCAAACATGAGGGCAGTGCAGTGAGGAAGGGGAACACACGAGATGAGATTGGTCAAAGCCCAGTAACGGTTACAACTGTATGAGTGCAAGGGGTCAGTACCCAAGCTATGGAAGTTTTCCCTAACAAGTGTTCACAAACAAGAACTGTCCAAGGGGCCCGGCGCAATGGTGCAGTGGTTAAGGCATGCCCGGGATCCCATATGGGCGCCGGTTCTATCCCGGCAGCCCCGCTTCCCTTCCAGCTCCCTGCCTGTGGCCTGGGAAAGCAGTCAAGGACAGCCCAAAGCTTTGGGACCCTGCACCCGCGTGGGAGACCCGGAAAAGCTTTGGGACCCTGCACCCGTGTGAGAGACCCAGAAGAGGCTCCTGGCTTCAGATTGGTTCAGCTCCAGCCGTTGTGGCCGCCTGGGGAGTGAATCATCGGACGGAAGATCTTCCTCTCTGTCTCTCCTCTCTGTATATCCGCCTTTCCAATAAAAAAATAATAAAAATAAATCCTTAAAAAAAAAAAAAAAGAACTGTCCAAGGAAGCTGTGAGAGAAATCAGAAGTTCTAGCTAACTAAGAGCAACCGCTCATCATGATTCCACATGACTTCTTTTGGTCAGGCAGCCTCCGGCCGTATGAATTCTTTCCAACAAGATTTCCCCCAACAGGTATCAGAACTGAGCCTCCTCGGAGGCTCAAATGGAACAGTGCACATGGAGGAAATGATGGTCCATCAGAGCCTATAAAGGACACCTGGTACCACAACAGAAGACCCTAAGTTGGACTATGTCAGCCAGTGGATTCTGGAGAGATTTCATCATGCTTGGAATGGAGAGATTGGCAGCAATTCAGAGCTGTTGAACTATCAAAACTGCATGAGCAGTGCCCTTGGAGCATGCCCCAAGGTGGGAACCCTGGGATGGGGTAGGAGGTTGTGGGGCCTTCTCCCTTTGAATCCCTCCTTACCCTAGATACACACACACACAAATGTGGAAACAATGGTCTTATCCACTTTCTTGTAACCCTTGACTCTTTGTTTCCTAATCAACTATGCAAAGTTTATCAAAATTTTAAAAAATATATGTTCCCCATTAGTTTTACATGCACACACACACACAAAAAAAAATTGTGCATGTGACATTACAGCTTTCTTGTGGTTGGTTGGATAGGTAGCAAAAACAAATGAAGAAAGAAAAAAAAAATACACGAGAAGGTCCAACAAGGAAAAGGATTCATTTTTAGTTCCCTTTGACGTTGGATGAAATTAAGCCACCACTATCATCTCGGACAGACAGATTTCCTGCGATTCTCACAGCATATCTTATCCAGGTGCAACTCCACTGATTGGCTAGCCGTGGGGGGCTCAGGTCACGAAATGAGCAGCTAACTGAAGATAGCTTACCTCTCCTGCCCAGCTGTGTCCCATAACTGCAGGTGGATTCTCTGGCCTCTGCCAACCGCTCCATCAGGCCCATTGGCCCTGTAGACCTAAAGCAACCAAGTGAAAGACAAAGCAACTTCTGAGACCAGTGAACTCTTCTCATGCTGTACGAACTCCAAAAGCATTTAAACTTCCAAACAGAATCCCTTCTGAAATACAACTTTGTTTTCCACATCACATGATTGTATTTGCTTGATGTAATAATTTTTATTAAAATGTAGCTATTTTATAAATGGCACAATAGCATGGTAGTTAAAGTCCTCACTTTGCACATGCCAGGATCCCATATGGGCACCAGTTCTAATCCCGGTGGCCCTGCTTCCCATCCAACTCCCTGCTTGTGGTCTGGGACAGCAGTTGAGGACAACCCAAATCCTTGGGTCCCTGCACCCACATGGGAGACCGGGAAGAGCTCCTGTCTCCTGGCTTCAGATTGGCTCAGCTCCAGCCACTGTGGTCACTTGGGGAGTAAACCATCGGATGGAAGATCTTCCTCTCTGTCTCTCCTCTCTGTGTACCTGCTTTTCCAATAAAAATAAAAATAAATCTTTTTTAAAAAAAAAAAAAGATTTTAGGGTTAGCTTGTCAGTTTCTATACCAGATTTTGATAAGGTTGAGATTGAACCTGTTGATCAATATGGGCAATATTGGCATCCTTATAATATTGCCTTCTGACCCATGTGCAGGATTTTCCATTTATTTAGATCTCTTAATATTTATCCCAATGTTTTGTGATTTCTAATGTATAGTAAGTTTTATACATTTTTGTTAAGTTCCTAAGTATTTCATTTTTCCACACTATTGTAAATTTGATTTGTTTTCTTAATTTCATTTTGAAATTGTTTATTGACATTGCAAAAAAATGCAATTTGTGAATTCAGCTTATGTATTGCACTTGTTTATTATTCACTCCCCAGGCGGCCACAACGGCTGGAGCTGAGCCAATCTGAAGCCAGGAGCCAGGTACTTCTCCAGGTCTCCCACGCGGGTGCAGGGTCCCAAAGCTTTGGGCTGTCCTCGACTGCTTTCCCGGGCCACAGGCAGGGAGCTGGTTGGGAAGCAGGACTGCCAGGATTAGAACCGGCGCCCATATGGGATCCCGGGCATTCAAGCCAAGGACCTTAACCACTGCGCCATTGCGCCGGGTCCAAGCCCTAAAATCTTAACAAGATTTTAAGAGATTCAAAACTATCCAAAAAGAACAAAGTTAAAAGATTCTTTATCTTCAGTTTCAAAACTTACTGCAAAGCTATAGTAACCAAAATACTATGGTAACATAATAGGATAGAAATGGATATGAAGTGGGGATTGAATACTTGGCACAATGGTTAAATCACCATTTGGGAAGCTTGCATGCATCACAGTGCCTAGGTTTAAGTCCTACCTGTGCTCTTGATTCTAACTTACATTATTGTGTACCCTGGAAAACAACAGATGATGACAGCACAAGTTCTTGGGTCCCTGTCATTCATCTGGGAAACCTATATGAAATTTCAGGTTCTTGGTTTGGTCCTGGCCAATCCCTGGCTGTTGTAAGCATTTGGAGGGTGAACCAACAAACATATGCCCTCCTACATACACACATGTGCCTGTGTGCTCTCTCTCAATTGCTCTCCTTCCTCCCTTCTTTCTTTGCTTCTCTCTCCCTCTCTCTTTTTCAAATAAAAGTGAAAATAACTAATTAAAAGCAAACAAAATTCAGATGGATGGAATATAATTAAGAGTCAAGAAATAAACTCTTAAATTATGGTCAATTGACTTGCAACAGAAGTATACAGAAGAGTATCAAGACAATTTAGTAGGAGAAAGTATATGCTTTTTTTCAAAAGATTTATTTATTTTTGTTGCAAAGTCAAATATACAGAGAAGAGGAGAGACGGGAAGATCTTCTGTCCAATAATTCACTCCCCAAGTGACCGCAATGGTCAGAGCCACGCCAATCTGAAGCCAGGAACCAGGAACTTTCTCCAAGTCTCCCACACGAGTGCTGGGTCCCAAGGCTTTGGGCTATCCTCAACTGCTTTCTCAGGTCACAAGCAGGGGTGGGGCTGCTGGGATTAGAACCGGTGCCCATATGGGATTCCAGCACACTCAAGGCAAGGACTTCAGCTGCTAAACCACCATGTTGGGTCCAGAATATTCTTTAAACCAGATGATGTTGGGACAACTGGATATCCACATTCAGTGAAAAGATGTTGAACCTCTGTTCACAGACAGGCACACACACCCACAAAAGTGGAGCACAGAGCCAAATGTAACAGCTAAAATCATTCACCTATCATATTCATCAGAGACACAAGCACACTACCTTGGACCCCAGTCTAATTCTTTCAGTGGCCTTTCATCCTTTCCCTATTTCCAATATATTTATAAGCATATTATAATGGAATATCCTAATCCTATATGCAATGTAGACAATGTAGACAAGGATGACTGCAATCAAGTAGAAAAGAACAACCGCTGGGAAGGATATGAAGACACCACAGCTCTCCTATGTTACTGGTCAGAACATAAACCAGGACAGCATCTTTGGGAAAACACAGAAATCCCACAGAAGTGAAGCATCCAGCAAATCAATTCCATTTCTAGGCATATATTTAAGAGGACTGAAAACAGGTGTCTACACAAAACTGGTATATAAATATTAATATAAGAATTACAACAGTTGCAAAGAAACAATCCACATGTCCATTAACAAATGAGTAGACACACAAAATAAGGAATATCAATACCATGGAATATTGTTTAACCATCAAAGAAAGGAAGTAGTGATATGTGCTACAGCATGGTTGAACCTTGATAACACAGTAAGTAGAAGAAATCAGGTAAAAGACTATGTATTACATGATTCTACTTCTATACGTCCATCATACTGCCTGGATTGAACACAACACATTTTCTTACATGCCCTCTAATTTTTCTATCTTAATCTTTGTCCTTCTAATTCCTACAAAGTAAACTGAACTGACAATGTTGATTCAGAGATTACATTTTTAAGTAGAAGGATGTAGGACTCACCACTCTCTTTTCCCTGAAGTCAATGCCCACTGTCGTGATGAATTTGGAATTGAATTTTCCATCTGTGTACTGGTAAAGCACACTGGTCTTTCCTACTCCAGAGTCTCCCAAAGCTAAAAACTTGATGAGGTAATCATAGTCTCCATCAGACATGATGAAGGATCAATGATGCACCTGTAAAAGACAATTTCATAATTTCAAAATATCCATTCATAGGGTAGAAATTTAGTATACAATTCAGAAAGTACTTCTTTTTTTTTTTTCATTAAGTACTTCTAACATCTGCATTCCCAGGGGTTCCTTGCAAAGAAGGTTGCATAATGCTCACTGCTGCTGAGGACCTAATTACTTGTTATAAGAGATGCTAAGGTTACAATAAATAACCAAGAATTTAGCCTTTTTAAAAAAAAAAAAAAAAAGGTTGATTTACTTTTATTTGAAATGAAGTTACAAAGAGAGGAGAGAGAGAAATCTTCAATTTCCTGGTTCACTCCCCAAACGGCCATCATGACCAGAGCTGAGCTGATCCAAAGCCAGGAGACAGGAGCTTATTCCACATTGCCCACATAAGTATAGGGGTACACGGACCTGAGCCAACCTCCAGTGCTCTCCCAGGCAATAAGCATGGAGCATAGCTGGAAGTAGAGCAGCCAGGGCTCTAAGTGGAGGAGCACATTGGCGCCACAGATGACACATTTACCCACGATGCCTCGGTGCTGCCCCAAGTTTAGTCTTAATTTAACATACATACTCTATTATTATGGCAAAATTTCCAAAAGAGATAGCACGAAGACAATAGTCACTAAGTCATACCACCCAACCATACAGAATAAAAACAAATAAAAGAGGAAGAAGAATGTTACAGGAAACAGTAATAATTCGTATAGCAGAAGTTGTTCCAACTGCCTCTTTGGGTCAGCCACCTTCGCTGGATCCTTGGCTTTTCCTTTTTTACTGGCACAACTGGATTGATTTGGAGACCGTCGTTCTACTACTAAGGGCTCATACACCTACACTTATCATGGTGTACCTTAACACTTCAAGGCTGACCAAAAAATCTGTTTTTATCTGTAACACCTACCAAGGAGACTTTTGCTCCTTTGTAATTGGCCCTTTTCAATATTTTGTTTTTATCCTATAATAAAATTAAAATGCTAATAAATTCGCCATGAAAATCAGAAAGATAACCAACTCTCCCATAATCACTAACAACCTGACTTGCCCATTCCAACACCTGCATCTCCTAGTCCCACATACAAACAGGGTGCCCTTCCCCAGATGTGCTACTTTCCTTTTCACATCATCCTTTTCACACGTTCCATAACCACAAACTGCTGTAAAACTTGAAGTTTGCTATACGATCACCATAAAGATAGAAAAGAACTCAGGGAAGGACTTGATGGATTATCAGGACCATCTCCTCCACCCCATCCTCAACTTGGTGACTCACCTTTTTTCTCCAAAGTCCTTTACGTTGGACCGCAAGAGCCCCTGCAGTGTACTTGCTCAGAATGCCTTGGCGCATGCCTGGAACCTTATACTTCAGATATGGCTGGCCAATCAACCAGGGCAGAGCCTCTACAAACATTCTTAACTCTATTTGCACACTATAAAGAGTGACACTTCACAAATGATGACTTGCCTATGTTAATTGGCAGTATAGGCCACCAGTATCAATGATGTATAGTCACTCCCCAACCCAACACAGTTCACTTACAATTTTTCGACTTTACCGAGATACAAGAGTCATACACACACAGGGTAAATTTTACTTCAAATTTTGATCTTTTCCCAGGTTAGCAATAAGTAGTCTGAGAGTCTTAAAATTGTGCAGGCAGGAAGCCACAGCTCCAAGCTACTCCCACAAGACTGAGAGTGAACAATGGATACTATACAGTGGAGTGTGGAGCTAAGCTACAACGCTCAGCAGGTTAGGGGCCTTGATTGTATTTTTGTGATATTTGCAGCTTACAACGGATTTAGTCAGGAGGTACTTCCATCAAAAGTCAAGGGGCACCTGTGTAGCAATTCCTCTCCTGATGATAATTACACAGGTACTCTAGCACTCACAGCACGTCATCCAGTGCCAAGTTATTTAGTGATGAGAGCTAAAAGAAAAAAAAAAAAAAGAAAAAAGAAAAACCAAGCCCAGGTAAAATGCAATCATCTGGGGAGGTGAAGCAACTTCAGTGCTGTAACAAGGGTGACCCAAGAAGACATTGTGGCTGCTTTATTTCCTCTTCACTACTTGTGATAAACACTTGTCCATTTTTATAGCTGTGCTTTTATCTTTTAAAGACAGGAGAAAATGCTGCAACCAAGTCCACAAATGAACATGAGTTTTCTATTCTTTAAAAATACATATATATACAGGCCTGGCGGCATGGCCTAGTGGCTAAAGTCCTCGCCTTGAAAGCGCCAAGATCCCACATGGGCACTGGTTCTGATCCCGGCGACTCCACTTCCCATCCAGCTCCCTGCTTGTGGTCTGGGAAAGTAGTCGAGGACAGCCCAAGGCTTTGGAACCCTGCACCTGTGTGGGATACCTGGAAGAAATTCCTGGATCCTGGCTTCGGATCGGCATAGCATCGGCCGTTGGCTGCTTGCAATCAGGTGAAGTCATCTATAAAACTGGATTGTTTTTGCTCATACATACTGCTATAATCCAGTTTGAAATAGCCTTAACTGATGAGTTATTGGCCCTGAGACTTAGATCTGCAGGGTTCCATTGTTTTAAAGATTTATTCTTTATTTATTTGAAAGAGTTAGAGAAAGGCGTGAGGAGGTTTTCCAAATACTGGTTCACCTTCCAAATGTCCACAATAGTCAGGGCTTGACCATGCCTGGTACTAAGTGCTGCATCTGGGTCTCCTTCACGAATAGCAAGGACCCAAGCACTTACACAGTCCTCCATTGCTTTCCCAGGTGCATCAGCAGAGAGCTGAAGTGCAAGTGGAGCAACTGGAAACAGAGCAATGCCCCTATGTGATATAGACACTGCATGTGGAATCTTAACCCACTATGTCACAGTGATGGTCCCTCCAAGTTTCCATTCTATCAAAAAGAAAGATGAAATCCACTACCTCACATCATTCTTCAGAAGAGGAAAGGGGGTGTGGTTTATGCAGTACCCAGCATAGTACCTCGTGCAGAGTGGGTACTTGGTGTTCGCACAGTGCCTAGCACAGTGCCTGGTGCAAAGCGGGTATCTGGTGTTTGTCAGCCCCCACCCTTCTACCCTGCTCTGCACTGACTCTGAAAACCTAGAACAGAACTTTTTGTGTTAAAGATATACTTCTTTACCTAAAAGGCAGAATTTCAGAGATGGAGAAACACAGAGATTGAGACAGAAAGATCTTTCAACCACTGGCTTACTTCTCCAAGGGCCACAATGGTCCAAGTAGGGACAGACTGAAGACACAATGCTGGCCTCAGATTAATTTACTTTTTTTCATTTAACTTGAAAGGTACAGAGACACAGAGATAATGACAGAGATCTTGCAACAGCTGACTTTCTCCCTAAATACTCGTAACAGGTAGGGCCAGGCAGTGACAGATCCAAGAGCCCAGAACTCAATCTGGGTCTCCTTACATGGGGGCAGGGACCCAAGGACTTGAGTCATTCCTTGCAACCACCAGAATGCACATTAGCAGAGAGCTGGATCAGAAACAGAGCTGGGACACAAACCCAGGCACCAGGGTATGGGATTCAGACATCCCAATCAACTTTGGAGTCACTGTACCAGGGACCAGAGTTATGGCACAGTGGGCAAAAACACAGCCTGTAAAGCCAGCATCCCATATGTTGCCAGCTTGCATTCAGATGTTACTCCCTGCTAAAGCCCTGGAAAAAGCAACAAAAGATGACCAAGTGTTTCAGTGCTGGGGTCCTTGTCACCCCGGTAGGACATCTGAAAGAATCCCAGGCTCCTGGCTTTGGTCTTGTGCAGCCTTGGCAGCTGTTCTCACCCAGGGGGTGAACCAGCAGATGAGCGATCTCTCTGTCCCTGTCTTTCTAATAAACACATTTTTAAAACAGTCACATTAAAAGAGATTATAACTATAAAATTATTTCTAAAAGATCTAAAATCACTTTTACCATAACCAGATCTAAGCAAAATTTGTAAGTTGAATTTCAATAGCTTTAATTAGTTCAGACTGGTTTTGGCTAGCCCAAATAGGTTCTGAACTGAACAAAAAAGTGAGTACCTCAAAGATGTTTTGATTGATTCAGAGTATAATTAGTGGAATCCAGTTGATTCTGATTAATTATATCTACTTCCAATTGGGTCACACTTGCTCCAGTTTTACCAAACTGCTCGCAATTAGGTGAAGTCATCTATAAAACTGGATTGTTTTTGCTCATACATATTGCTATAATCCAGTCTGAAATAGCCTTAACTGATGAGTTATTGGCCCTAGCAGTTAAGACTTGAATTGAGATGCATACGTCCCACACTGGTGAGCCAGGTGTTGACTCCCAGCTCTACTCCTAATTCCACCTTCCTGCTAATGAATACTAAACCAACACTAATGTCTCAAAGCATTGAGTCCCTATTATTCAGGCAGGAGAAATGGATTAAATTTCTGGCTCCTGGCTTTGCCCTCACCTTACCCCAGCAATTGCGGGCATTTAAAAAATGAACTAACAGATAGGAGCTCTCTGTCTGTCAAATTAGTGAACTTTAAAAATAAGTGGAACTATTTCAAACCAATTCCAAGATATCAAACACTCCAAGAGTTTAAGTAAAAACGACAATCAGAAGCACCAAAAAATTTATATCAAACTACTGAATTGACAAATGTCTGTATATTATCTCCACAGTAGACATGCTAGGCCCTAAGTCCAGTGGATGTCTACCTGGGAACACTCTGCTGTGGTGAATAGTAAAGCAGGTGGAGACAGGAGCCCCAGCAGAGACTATTCTGGTAAACAGAAGGAAAAGGCAAGACAAACAGCCTAGGCTCCCTGGATTGAAAGTTAATCTATTTTTAACTCAGGAATCTACCAGCCAAACATGAATCCACAATCCAACAAGACAGAGATTTCAACTGGGGGAATCTATCGGCAGACTTGGAGACTATGTAGAATTTGTACAAAATTTGTACAGAGTTAATACTGGCCTAACTGCTCTATGCTAACCGACATCAGAAAACTCCCTCACCCCCAAAAA